GTTACGATTATATTATTATAATTGTATTAGATATAGATAGATTGTTTTTATCATTAATTAATATTGTAATTGATTGCTTTCATATTTAATTGTTATTTTAGTCATATTTAATGAAAGAACCTCTCACAAAGAGGGGCATCGAGTCTTTTATTGAGTTTATTTGACACACACACACACACACACACACATATATATATATATCTTATATGTCACATGGATCCAAATATGATAAGGGAGAAGTTAAATATTGCTGCATGAAGCCACCTCTTGCTTAACACATGTAAACATAGCTGTATGAAGTACTTTCTTAATCTTTAAGCAAGATTCACGACCCCAACCCCTTTAAGACTCTATACATACCCCATACTAAGATATCTTATTTCTTCAAGTGATCCCCAAGTAAAAGCGTAAGAGAAAGAGAAAGAAAAGAAACGAAGGGAAGCAGAAACAAGGAGCTGGGAATTGAAATTCGGGATATGTGAGTTTAGCTCTTGGTTTTGAAGGTTGTTTTCATTGTTTTCTTAAGGTGTTACAAACTTGTGAACCTCTGAAATTGCTTGATATTATGTTGGGGTTGGTGTTGGGGATGTTATTATGGTAAAAAACAAAGAAAATTGTTGGAGATATATGGAGTGAAACAACTAAGGACAGAAACTGCATAGATGCTGGATTTTACTTGTTTCGCCTTTCGTGTTATATAATATTTTGAATGGAACACACACACACACACACACACACACACACACACACACACACATATATATACATGAAGTATTAAGGGGGTGTAAGACGTGGTGGAATCCTTAATGTTGAAGGAATTAGACGGTGAAATGAAAAGTCTCCCAAGCATGAAGTGTTCAAGCATGGGGTGGCTTCTTGTGATTAAATTCTGATTTTGTACCTATCCTTGGAGGATTTGTATGAAACTTATGGATAATATATTGAATATATGAAGCCTTAAGAGAGTTGTAAACATGACCAATGCTTAATGGTGAAGGAATTGACAATTACAAGGACAAATTGACAAGCATGAGGTGTCCCTTGTGGTAGAAATATGATTTCACCCCTATCCTTGCAGGTACAAATCAAGTGTCCTTAGCTTATTTTAATGTCTTTACAATTTATCTTACCTGCCCTAAAATCTCAAGATATTTTATAGCGTTAATTCCTTAATCGTTCATTTAATTACTTACTCGATTGACACTCAATTTTTCGACCGATTTCAACAATTTGCACCTTAATATTTTTTCGACTGATTTCAACAATTCGCATCTCAATATTTATAACGACATATAAAACCCATATTATTGCGTAGTGATCATGTCACGTCATGCCTTATGTCCTAAATATGTTAATTACCTATTTAGGGTTTATGGTGACTTTGATAAACCGAATGGAAAGCTAGAACCTTTATCGATACTAATTTCGGCATTTTCAAGATACTAATTGCTTAACAAGTCAATCTCCAACATCTAGATTAACCTAATTTCTCTATCATAGCTCAATGTAGAATTCGTTACCTAGGTCGAAGGCTAACGCCATATAAAGATCCTAAGCTCTCAATAATCGAATGTATTATTTTAAAATAAAGCAATTAGGAAAATTGATGCAAATGACATTGTAAATAGCATGCATGTACATTTAGGGTTAATTACTCTACTCAAACTGACATTTGTTGTCAATAGAAGAAATAAATCCTTGATTTATTTTGGCAGGGTCCAAAGAACTGTTCCTTTTGGTGCAAAATGAAGGGGAAAGCAATTTGAAAGTTAACGTTAATTTTCCTAATTCTATGGAAAGTGGATTGCCGGCTTTTGAAGTAGCTAAACACCAAACTAAAAAGGTGTGGATAAAAATATTTGCTGCTGTGCAACTTCTTTTATGTATTATGCATCCCCTAATATCATGTGGTGTGGGAAATCTATTTTGAACATTTGTAAAAGTGTACTTACTGTATTCACCCGTAATTCAGGAATTGCAGTTCTAATAATTTCTCCTCCAGTGTGGAACTATAAACTGAAAATTGCTCCTTATAAGAAATTCCACTGTCTTGCAAAAAATATTTGCATTTTTAGACTAGCTACACTTTATGTTCTCAATGTTGGTTCTATAAATTACAAGATATATAATGAACATTAATAGAAATGACGATATACACATAAGGGGAGGTTATGAATTGAGTATATTTTCTGAGAAGTGCAACAAATCAAGATAAATTAAGCGAAAGACTACTTTAAAATTGATGAATGTTTTGCGTTGACCTAAAGAAACTCTCAGTTACGTGATTATGCAATCATTGTGGTAAAGAAGAGAGAGATGTAGACCAAAATTAACATGGCATGAACTGGTTGAAAATATTAATTTTGTGGGACCTCCAGAAAAGAGAGCTTAGTAATGAATTGTATGGGAAAAATGAGAAAATTTAGAATGAAGAGAACTCGTAATATTTGCAGTATATCATGGTCAAGGGTGAACTATCGAAAGGACGAAACTGCTTTCTTTCTTTTGTTCTTTATGTTAATCTGTTGCTAGATCTTGCCACATTCACTGTCTAACATAAAAATTTGCTTGAAGCAAAGGCTTTAATTGGAATATTGTTGCTAAAAGTTATAACCTTGAGGTTTGTACAGAAATTGGAGAAAAATTAGAAACTCAAGAAAGTCTGGGTCAATTCGTCTACATGAGATAAAGAGGGGTCATATTGGCTTTGCTGGCCATTAAAGTTCACATGTTATTGAGCTATTGGGTTTATTAAAGCAATAAAGAAATGCCTTCCTGGCTACTGGAACAACAAAGCCATTAAGGAATGCATTAAATATTAGCACCTAGCACTAAAATTGCATGGCGAACTAGCTATCAGAGCAGAAGGTTTGGTCATTGCTGATTGACCTTGCTTGCAAGGTTTCTGACACCTAGGTTTTATACGTACATCCAGAAAATTATTGATCCATATTATTTGTTTACTTCCAGAATTTCAAATTAAGTCCCCATTAATTTTTGAGGTTTAAGATGGTAATAAAACACTTGGAAATTTGCTGCTGCGGCTATTATGTGGTTCATTTGGATTGAGAAGAGTGCTCACTTTCTAATGGACGTGACCAACTGCTAGCATTTGGGATAAAGTGGTTTTACTGTATTGATTTTTGAACCAAGGCTGAAGACACTTACAATGGCAATACTTTGATAGATGTTCCATGGGGTTGACCACAACTCTATAGCTATTTCAGTTTCTCGTTGGCTGTTTTTTGTTCTATTCAAGTATTTGAGCCAATTTTATAGTCATATCCGTTCCTTGTTTCCATTATTAATACATATTTTTCATAAAAATAATGCGAACTATCAGTTGTGCTGATTATCATCACTCAATATGATAGTAGGGTCACCTTCACATTTTCCTCAAATGGGCAATGTGGTGGTGGTGGGTCATGATCATTAGCACTGTTGATGAATAGCATTACTCTTTTTATAAATATATGTACTTACAGAAAAATGAAGAATTGAGGGAAAAATATCACTCGTGAGTTTTGCCATTTGATTCTACAAGATCTTTTCAATCAGTGAATTATTTTCTTGAACTGTTCATTTGAACTGTTATTTTAACAATATTTGCCCTCATATGACTCGTACTTGTTTTATTTGAAGTTGCCAGATGACATTAGATCATATTATGAGTTCTATGCTGTATTTTCTACTTTTCAATTCACCACTTCCTCTTTGCCTGTTTGCTCGTAGATTGATATCTCTTCAACCCCGGGCAAAAGCAGCAAAATAATATTAAGTTCTGGAAACGGGAATTGTGTGCTTGACATGGCTAGTTCTGTTTCTGTAGAGAACTTTCTCCGGCAGTTTTCTTTCTATTCTAGACAGGTGACACCTATCTATGTTGCATTCTTCTTCTTTCTACTGGCTTTGCTTTGTGGAGGGACATGGGCTTGCTGCAAGTTAAAGAAGAGAAGAAGGCATGATGGAATTCCGTATAAGGAACTTGAAATGGGCTTGCCAGAATCCACTTCAGCTGTCAACGTGGAGACATCAGAAGGTTGGGATCAGGATTGGGATGATGATGATTGGGACGAGGATAGTGCAGTAAAATCACCTGGAGGGCACAACATTAGGAGCATCTCTGCAAATGGCCTCACTTCAAGGTCTTCTAAGAAAGATGGGTGGGATAATGACTGGGATGATTAGTAGTGTGTTTGAGAAATAGGAATCAGTAGAAAATCTCTGATAGGACACATCACATACTGGCTAAAGAAAAAGAAAATGAGAAAAGCCCTTTGTGTTTACTATTTTTTTGTTTTTTTTTTCTCCCACAGAAAATGTGGAACTTTGTTTCTTGCATAGAATCTTTTGCATATGATAATGTGTACTGAAAAAAAAATTTTAGTCCAGAAATTTTTTATATTTATCGATGATTTGGAGCTGCAATTGTTACCATAAATTTTTTATGTACCAAGGATTGCAGTTGTACAAATTCTGTTAAATTCTTATGAAATTGTCAATATTACTTTTACATATGATGTGATCACTGTCGTTCAGTTTTTGTTAATATGAAATTTTATCAAATAGTGGGCATTAATCTAATCATATATTAGTGTTTATCAATTTTATAAATTGCTGTTAATTAGTTGCTCCTTGTTTTCTTCCTCATTTTCTGGAGACCAGTCGAATGAAAATAGATATATTTTTTTTTTTTTGAAAACCAGAAACTTTGAATATTTACCTCTTTCTATATACATTTTCCAGTAGTGAAGATTACTTATTGTGATGTTTGAGATAATCTTTACCGGTGTGTTTGGAATGCTGAACTTGAATGTACTGGACATGTTTAAAGAAGAAAGAGCTCACGCATCATGTTTTCTGCTAAAGCCTCTTTTCTAGTATGTTATCATGTTCACTCTTCCTTGGCTACTTTATATTTCTAATGGAAAGCTATCCTTTGAGGCTATGATGGACCGATACTGACACGTGTGTCCGACATGATACGTGTTGTTACCGTTTTGAAAAATCGAAAACAGAAAACGGTCCGAAAACGAAGAGAACATGCCCTTATTTTCTCTCTCAAAACGAAAACCAAATGCAAAGTTTTCAGCCAAATGAAGAGACGCGACCAGGGTTAAATGATAGGACCATCCAGAATAGCATCCAACGACCAAAAGCAAGCCAAGTGTCACCATCTAATTAAACTCGTTTATTTAAAATAGTTGTCATTTTTAAAGTGCGTTGGTGGAGATATAAAGATCCAACGACCAAAAGCAAGCAAAGTTGTTTTCTACTCCAACTTGCAGGGACCCAATTTTTATTAACATGTTAATAGCAATCACCAATTTCAAACTTAAAACCCCAGTGAGAAAGCTATTTAACAAATTATTTTGATCGGTTCAAAGGCCTATGACTACTTCTAAGTTCAAACTTACTTGTAAGCCACTTGTCACCAATTTCAAACTTAAAACCCCACTGACAAAGCTATTTAACAAATTATTTTGATCGGTTCAAAGGCCTATGACTACTTCTAAGTTCAAACTTACTTGTAAGCCACTTGTCCAAAAACTTAAGCGGAAAGATTACATTTATTTATGAATAATGCTACTTGTACATCACCCCTTACACAAGGGGTGANGTGTAAGGGGTGATGTACCCGTAGCAAAACCGTTTATTTATTTAAACTGTCTTCAACACAAGTCTCTGATGTTTATCAAGTGTAGGCTGGACTCATTTTTCGCATGTGTAAGGGCTTTCGATCAATGGATAAAAGTGACTAGGGATAGCAGGCTTATCTTCTCCTAGCCCTAATTTTTTCGCATGTTCATTTTTCATCTGAAAGCTTAAGCTGTTTGACATAGAAGACATTATGTTTATCTAAAGTTTGTCTTTAACATGCTTTTGAGTCCCTGTGTTTAATTCAATTGAAGCAATAACAATAATAAAAATTCATCCCACTAGTCCCCCATTGCCAGCATATACATTTACTAATCGTCCATTAGAGAAGCTGTCGATCCCCCCTTCATTCGCCTCGCTTAGTTGTGTCTTCTTGTCTGTAAACTCCTTTGGACCAACTTCTTCCTCAGTTTATGTATATATGTTGGAAGTTGGAATAGACATTTCAGCATCTTCTTGTTGTTGTTTAACCTGCAGATGGCTCGGAGAACAGTATATTTCATTGCAATATTTCTTGCTCTTTCATCGTGTTTGTCTGCTCGATTTGCTTATGGACAAATCACAGATCCCCTGGAAGGTTTTCTGTTTGCTATTCTTGTCTTCACTAATCGATCCTCTTTTTCGATATGCTTGTAGAATCTTGCCTGCATACATATATACTGTAGATATAACAAGTGAGTTTCAATCTATCATTGTGCCTACTGCAGTTTCCACTTTACTAGCAGTTCGTCGCCAACTAACTGACCCCAGGAAAAATCTTAAAAATTGGGATAAGATGAAAGACCCGTGCGCCTCGAATTGGACTGGTGTGATATGCTACAGAAACAAAAGTGATGGTTATATGCATGTTCAAGAATTGTACGCACTTATCTATTTAATGCTTCTTTCCAATGTTTTACCTTCCTTTTACCTAGAACATTATGACAGTAGTTCACCAATTTGCATACGATGGAAAACAGTTTCCTTGGATTATTTGTTCGTCTACCTTCTTATCGTCCACTCAAGTTGCATAATATTAACTAGGACTTGGTGATTAAGCTTATGGTGCTTTTGAAAAATAACTTGTTCTCTTCACCTGGTTATGCAGGCGCTTGATGCATTATAACCTCTCTGGTATATTAGCTCCTGAGCTTGGTCAGCTAGTTCATATGAAAATATTGTGAGTCCCCCCAGATTTGCATATCTTCTATTGTATTATGTATTGGGGGAATTTCGATATCAAGGTTCTTCACTTTGATGTCAGGAGCTTTATGTGGAACAATATCAGTGGCAGCATTCCGAAGGAGATTGGCACCATTACTGATCTTAAGCAACTGTAAGCATATTGTCAAGATTTTAGATAACTTTGACTCTGCTAAAAGAATTCCTCGATTATTGAATGGTTTTCAAGATTTTAAATGATGAATAATGTAATTTTTTATCCAATCAACGGGTAACAGAAACTGGTATATGGTGTTAAGTGATAGAATCTCACATCGAATAAAGATGTAAACATAAACCAACTTATAAAGGATTTGGTTACTCCTCTTAATAAGGTTGATCTTTTAAGATGGAACATCAATTCTTAACATGGTATCAGATCCCATTAAGCTCTAACGGGTAATTCGATCTGGTTAAGACTTCAAAAGTTAGCATACGGATTTCAAGATTTGTCTGCTCAAACGAGCCACCATCTTACGAGGGTATGTTAAGGGATAGAATCCCACATCGAATAAAGATATAAACATAAACCAACTTATAAAGGATTTAGTTACTCCTTTTAATAATGTTGACTTTTTAAGATGAAACCTCAATTCTTAACATATGGTACGGTGTTTTATGAAGTCTTTTAGATGTGATAAAACAAACTAGGCCTTTTTCTAATGGATAGTCACAGCTTTTAGACGGCAATTCTTAGTCTAGCCAACCAACTACTCCAGTCTTCCCAGCTACACTATGAGAATCTCTAACAACTCTTGCTCTATATTGCAGGCTTTTGAGTGGAAATCAACTATCGGGGCCATTACCCGATGAACTTGGTTATCTTCCAAACTTGATTAAACTTCAGTTGGACTTGAACCAATTATCTGGATCAATCCCAAAATCATTTGTAAACTTGCCCAAAGTTCAACATTTGTGAGTTTTTCTTAGAACCAAGTGCCTTTATAGTTATAGAACATTTAGGCATATTTTAACATCAATATCAAAATGCAGCCACATGAACAACAATTCATTTAGCGGGCAGCTTCCTCCTGAGCTTTCGGCCCTTCCACTTCTTAAACACTTGTAAGTTTCATGTTTTAAATTGAAATGATTTACTAGTTTTGGCTCTAAAGTACGAATACTCTGAATAGGTACAATGCACCATAGTTTTTATGTTCTACACTTTAATATGTGAACTATGACAGCCTATTGGATAACAACAAGTTAACAGGATATCTCCCACCAGAGTATTCAGAAATGCCGAGCTTGACAATTCTGTATGTTCCGATTTTAAAACTTTCAATTTTTTCCAGTCCAAGGACTGGTCATTCTATCAGATAAATCCTTTTCGCCTTTAATAATTTGCCATTCCTTCTCCTTGCCTCCTCTACATACTGCAGTCAGCTTAACAATAATAACTTTGAGGGGAATGTGATTCCCGACACTTATGGAAACATGTCCAAGCTCATAAAGTTGTAAGTCCTTTATCTTCGTTTCATTTTTTCTCATCAACTTGCCATATGGCATAAAATTTGACTCTATTTTAGACCTGAAACTTTGATGATCACGTATTTACTTGTATATGGAAGGAAGAGATGACAATATATTTGCATTCATAAAATAGTAATTCATTTTCATTCAAGCAGGAGTCTAAGGAACTGTAATTTGCAAGGAAAAGTACCTGATCTCAGTGGCATACGAAGCCTTCTCTACTTGTACGTCTATAAGGTCCATTTAGAAAATCAGTCACAACGTGACATGATATCAGTACAAGTCTTGCATTGATGGGAAAAAAATAAACCTGGCCTGCTTTGTTCTTGAATATAATTGTTCTCTTCCCGTTACAGAGATCTTAGCAAGAATCAACTTACGGGAAAGATACCAGTAAACCGACTTTCTGACAATATCACAACCATGTAAGTACAATAAAGCTGCCATGTAAGTAACATTGCTGCCATTATGAGATATTATAGCACTTTATGCTAATACGTCGCTTCATTGTATGACATTTTTCCAGTAATCTGTCAAAGAATCAGCTTAATGGATCTATTCCCTCCAATTTCTCTGGACTTCCTCATCTCCAGAAACTGTAAAGAATTGCAGCTTTTTAGACTTTTTTCCGTTCTCAAGATTGTTGATTTTTCTCATTAGTCTTGTGCTTAAGAATAATGGGTTTTTTTCCATAGGAGGTTGAATAATAATTTGATGAGCGGATCTGTTCCATCTACCATTTGGAAGGATAGAACTTTTACTTCTGACTCAAAACTTGAAATGTAAGTTTTGATAACATCAATTTTTCTGTCTGCACAAAACACCTGTCTGCATAAAAATTTGACAATTTTTCTGTCTTCTCAATTGTCAAATTTGATATGCTTAGTAATTTAAAAACTTATCTCGAAAAGCACATTATATCTCTCTTTTGGCACCCCTTATTTGAATAATCAATCTCATCACCGCATGCAATTATTTCAGTATACAAAAATGCCGCTATCTATGCTTTTCTGACAAAGGTATCTAAGTTTTAATCTGGAATATCACTTGGCAGAAATTTTCAAGACAATCTACTTTCAGACATTTCTGGTGTCCTGGAAGTCCCTCCAAATGTGACATTAATGTGAGTCTCTATTTGTATATATTATCATTATCAGTTTTATTACCTATATTAGTTCCTCTGTTCCTCGAGCAACTAAAAATGGAAACATGAACAAATTTGTTAGTAGCAGAACAATGGTTACATAATCGTATGACATTCTGATGAATCCCAAATGTTGAAATTTCAGGCTTCATGGAAATCCTGTTTGTCGAAATGCAACTCAGAGGAACATCGGTCATCTTTGTGGGTCTGATAACGGAGATGAAAATACAGCCACCGTGAACAAGCCAGTGCTAACTTGTCCATCTTCTTGTCCTACTTGCTTCGAATATGTCCCAGGATTACCGGATAAATGCTTTTGTGCAATACCTTTTGGGGTTGGACTCCTGCTGAGAAGTCCTAGCATATCTGACTTTCCTCCATATCGAGATCAATTCAACGAGTACATAATAGGAAATGTTAAGTTGTATCCTTATCAGCTTTTCATTGACTCACTAGCTTGGGAAGAGGGTCCAAGGCTAAGAATGTTCTTGAAGTTCTTCCCTCAGTTAAACAATGATTCTCATACATTTAACGATAGTGAGATTCAACGGATTGCAGACATATTTGCTACCTTCGTTATACCTGGGAATGATACATTTGGCCCTTATGATCTGCTTAATTTTACTGTCAGTGGACCTTATTCGAACAGTAAGCCAATTTTTACCGATACTTCAGTTAAAGCAATCTTTGCTCTAAAGTTGGATTGAATTGAATTGAAAATTCTTGTTACTGTAGTGCCACTCCCATCTTTAAAGAGTAAAGGAATGAGCGAAGGCGCCTTGGCTGGAATTGTGTTGGGGTCCATCTTCTGTGCCAGCATGGTACTTTTAGGTGTCGTACTTTTATTCTTAAAGAAGCATCAGCAGCTCCCACTCAATGCTGTGAAAGATAAATCATGTGAGTCGTGCTTTATTATTCTCATTAACCTTTCTTTTATTTATTGAGTTACATTATACATGATTTCGATCCATACTTCTTGTTTGTTTGTTAGTCGGAAAAGTTACAATAATAATGGATGGAGTGAAAGCACTCGGCTTTAAAGAGTTGCAAGCAGCAACAAGCAGATTTAGCATTGCTACTCAAGTTGGCGAAGGAGGCTACGGAAAGGTCTTTAAAGGTACTTTAGCAGATGGCACAGTTGTTGCTATAAAGCGTGCGCAACAAAGTTCTTTGCAGGGTGACAAAGAGTTCTACACCGAGATAGAAATGTTGTCCCGTTTACATCACATAAATCTGGTTTCATTAGTCGGATATTGTGATGAGGATGAGGAACAGGTACAATTCAATCTCAAATATATCTTACCGTATATCAGTACTTGTTCATTTAGTTCACAAATATTGTGTTATTAAACTTGGAGTGAACTTATGTTGATCAGTTCATGAAATGAACTTCATCTAATATTAGTTTATTCTTTCTCGTCTTGTTTGTGCATACAGATGTTGGTGTATGAGTTCATGCCAAATGGCTCATTACATGACCTCCTATCTGGTAATGATCCATTCTTCTTATTGCTTGTGTTTCTACTCAATCTTGTTTATTCAGTTACTCAATTTCTTGGTGAATCTAGATCCTAAATTTATGTTTTCAAGTAAAAAATTCGCTCGTGTTAACAGCTAGATATAGATCACCTCTAAGTTTTGCGACAAGATTGCATATTGCACTAGGTTCGGCAAGAGGCATTCTTTACCTCCATACAGAAGCTGATCCTCCTATCATTCATCGCGATATCAAGGCAAACAACTTATTGTTGGACTCCAAGTGGACAGCCAAAGTATCTGATTTTGGAATCTCGAGGCTTGCACCAATATCAGATGTAAAAGGTGTTACAGAAGCACATATCTCCACCAATGTGAAAGGAACACCGGTAAGATGAACTCTACCTATGCATTCAGGGACTTCATAAAAAAATTAAAATGAACAGACCAAATGGTTCGTACCCAGTAAATATTGGGCTGTCTACAAGAATTTTATTTTTGCCACTGCACTAGGTTTCATGTCATAAGTTCGTCAAAAATTTTTATCCTAGATGTGAAGCTACTAAAACCCTCCTTTACCTGGCTTCGGACTGACTGAAAAACAATAATTTGCTTCTAACTCAATGAGATCCCTTGGGAGAACAACTCAAGAGGATCGCTACGAGATTGATGGAATGATGTTCAAACGATAAATTGTTTAGATAGTTTTAATATTATTCGTGCACATCATTCTCTTAGAAATTCCACTCAAGCATTGGACTTACCAACAAAAAGAAGTACGGTACATAAGTAATTTTAAGATGACCATAATTACTAGAGGGTGTCAAGCTTAGTTATTTGAGGAATTGTATCTTAGAAATTTACTCGATGAAACTTTCAAGCTACATATTTAGGTTGATTAGTTTCTCTTACCGTCCTCGTAACAACGATTATTTTAGCATTCTTTTTCATACCCATTTGGTATTAAAACAATGTTTCTACTTATATGCAGGGTTATCTTGATCCAGAATACTTTTTGACCCAGAAGTTAACAGAGAAAAGCGATGTTTATAGCCTTGGTGTAGTATTTCTAGAACTCTTAACAGGGATGCAGCCTATATCTCATGGAAGGAACCTTGTGAGAGAGGTATCTCTGGATGCTATAATATAAACCCTATTGAGGATTTCATAATAAAGTTTTGTCTATATTCATTTTTAAGATCATATGCTTGCTTGATGGGATGATTGAGAACGTTCACAGTAGATTTATGAATTTCTAACTTGTGTGAACATGCATTACAAGCATTCAAGTTCTTGCTTTGTCTTTTATCACATCATCTCATTAATTTCCACAATATGTACTTACAGGTTAACATAGCATGTCAATCTGGAACGATGTTTTCCCTCATAGACGAGAGTATGGGGCCATATCCTTCAGACTGTATAAAGAAATTTATGCAATTGGCCATCAGGTGTTCTCAAGATGAAACAAAGGATAGACCTTCTATGTTGGAAGTGGTGAGAGAGCTCGAAAACATATCTTCAGCGCTTCCAGAATGTGACAACACTGCATTGGAGTTAAACTTAAATACCGTAACTTCTGAATCCTCACCCTCGGCCTCAGCTCCATCTTCTTCAGTCTACTCTAAAACTCATACTTATGTCTCCAACAATCTCCGTGGAAGTAACCTTGTTAGTGGCTTCTTCACAACCATCAAGCCTCGTTGATCAGTTCAATAATGATCATAGATCAGTTGCGCTCTTTCAAATAGTGATTGTTTAAAAGTCTGTATTTCTTTTCTTATACTTCAAATTTGTCCATATGGTTCTTAGCCTGTAAACTTTAACAATGCCGCCGGGTTAAAGAAAATGCTTGCTGTAATTTTACGTTTATTATGTCCTTTCTACTTTCATTTGAAGAAACCTGAATGGCACTGCAAAAGTGATATCCAATGTTTATATGTTCACGTTTTAGCTAATGATGACCTGCTTGCGGTTTATTTCAAACCTTTGTTTCGTGGTAATGTATTCGTTGTAGCATACGTATCTCTCTCTGTAAGCATTTGCCTTTGATGATGGGATTTTTACTTGTGGGTGTACAGGGTTTCTTCACAAAGAATGGGTTGTATCGATGTTTTTGTATCTTTTTCGTTAAAAATGCTTCTTCTTCTTCGTTAAATTCATGAACCAGTTACAAAATATGATGTTTGTTCCATCACTCCTGTTGACCCCCAAAAATGAATCAACAGATGTCAGACCCACTCAACAAATCAAGTACGATTTCGACGTGTTCCTATCGGAATGATGACGGTAGCGGTGAGGAAGTAGACACAGGAGGTACTTTGCGACGAGATACAAAATTGTTCGAGCTCCGACAGGTGGAACGAAAGCGATCGCACTAACAACGATCGCCGAGTTGAAACCAAACTAATCTATGTAATAATAAACAAGAATATGTGGAAGGATAGATGAAATGTTAATATATTTCTTTCAAGAGTTCAAGTGTATATCTCAATATGATTGTACGTTCTCCTTTATCAAATGATCCAACCTCCTTTCTAATTATACAGAGGACCTATTTATACTGCAATGGCCGACGTGGTGATTGTTAGATCAGAACCACGTGGCCTCCCCTCCCAACTTTTGGGCATTTTTTTTCACCATCATTAAATTTATGTTTTTGTTTCAATTTTCGAAATCATTATAGAATGTTAAACGAAGTTAAAACATTGCATTCTTAAAAAGTGCATTTTGAGAATTCACAAATCGCCTATGTTATCTCGAAGTTCGTTTTCAAAATTATATCATAGACATATCGAATTGTCTAAACGAATATCAAAAATAGTTAAAAAATGTGTCAAATCTGTGTCTTAAAAAGAAGAGTCTTAACTCACATCTTTTTAAAAAAAATTCAATTATTTTATTAACTTTTATTATTTTTGCACGACAAATTTCTCAATATAATTTATATTATTTTATTAGAAAATTTTACATGGGATATGTCGGTATGATTTCAAAAATTTTCGAAATTTTACATCCGAAAAAAGTCACACCCAATGTAAATTTTTGGATGTAAAATTTGAATGTAAATTTACTTGAGGCGTGACTTTTTTCGGATGTAATTCCTCGTCACTTTTTTGGAAGTTTGATTGTGCCCTAACTAAAAATGTTTGTGTCCGCAAATTATAGGGATTTCAGTGGGTGATGGAGTTTTAAATAGTAACCTAGTAGGCGTAAAGGGTTTTTTTTTTTTTACAATTGGGTTATTTAGATGTTTCTATATCTCTTTTGTTAATGCTTCTTCGTCATTACATAAAAATTTAGTTACTTCAATACTTTTAACGAAGTGAGTTAAAACTTGTTTATATGAACGTATGGGAATGGAAAAAAAAATTCGATTAACCCGATACCAGCAAGCCCCATCCCATTTGGGGGCGGAGATTACCCATCTAATTGGTAAACGGGCGAGGATCGTTGCCCTGAAGTGGGTGTCGGAAATATATTGCATATCCCTCTATCCGTCTCGTTTAAAGTTAATTTCAGATATAAATTTTTTATCAAACAAAAATAAAAGATTTATCATCGTTTTTAAAGAAAACACGAGTTGTTCTTAACAAATTGGGAAAAAGTAATAATATTCACTAACAAAATACGTAAAGAAATAATAATAATAAAACAATGTGGCGATACTCCGCCCCGCCTTGCCCCGCCCCTCTTTAATTGAATATGAAGACATGACAAAGTAAAAAAAATACCCGAACGAACTACATCCTGACACTATTTTATGATTTACTTTCCTCTTTTGTAAATGATCAAAATCTCTCTCAAATCACCAAATGGTCAGCTAAGAGATTTAGGGTGGGCCTTATAATTTTTGTTGAGATTAGGACTACACAAAAAAATCGCGAAACCACAAATTGAATCGAATCGAACCAAATCTAAACCGTTGGTTCTGGTCCACGTGTACCAACGATTTTTTTCCCTCAAACCAAACCATACCATTGACCATTTCAAAATGGTATGGTTTGGTTTATGTTTTAATTTTCAAAAATCATACAAAATCGAATCGAACTATTTTTAATTAAAAAAATAATTTTATTAACTTGTAAATTTTACAATTTTTAATTTTTAGAAAAAAAAAATATCAATTTAGCAATACAAATTACAGCCAACCCATTGAAAAATCATATAAAGTAAATTAGGTTCGTCATTATTGGCCCATGATTTTATAAGTCTACAACACATGTCTTTACCCGATATCTAAACTAAACTAAAATTATTTCGAAATCATATGAAATGAAAAAAAAAAAAAC